AGAGGTTCAAAGCAAAAGTGATGGCCATGTAGGCACCCCAAGGAACAAAGCCCGACGCCACTGTCCAAGGTAGGCGAAGGAAAAGCAAGAAAAGTGGCCACATAGAGCACTGCAAAACTCCACACCCAAGAGCCAGCAGAAGGACCAAATAGGGCCACACCGTAGAGGTCAGCAAGAAGTCCGGCACCTGGCCATGTGCGCCAGGCCCGGGTGGCCATAGTCACTCATGACGAGTTCGTTTGGCAAGCATGGCCTCCAACTGATTGAAGCGGGCATCAAAGGCTTCATTGACTGAAGAGGCAACCGAGGACGTAAGTGTCGTGCCAAGGTGCTCGGTTGTCTTTTGAAGCCCGGTGATTTGCGAGCCCATGTTCTCCATCCCCTTGTGGACATCGTTGAACCAGGATCTGAATTGCTGGCCTTGTGCGGTGAGCTCGGATACCCCAGCTTCAAGTTTCCGAAATCGCATGTCGGCTTCCTGCTGGAATGCAAGGAGAGTTGTATCACTAGCCATGGTGGCATCTTGGGCGTGTTCTTCGAGGTGTGCTTGCACAGTATCCTTCAATGAGGCCTGAAGCCGAGTCTCCATCTCTTGCAGATGTTTGGTGCTGGAGGCGCCCGGGGTGACATGTGAGGACGAAGGAGCAGACCATCTCTTCCATGGATCATTGGAAGCCTGGAGCCAGGGATCTGCAGGAGACTGTTTCGCAGGCGCAAGCTTGCGAGGATGGCACAATGAGATGACCGATGGAGGCGCTGCCGTGGAAGTAGTGCGATCTCGGACTTCACTGATGAGCACATCTCCTCCAAATCCAGGCATGATCGGCTTTGGTGGTGGCTTGTCAGCACCAACCTCCCATGCTGAGCCCGAAGCTGATCCCTTAGTAGGTTGCATAGGTTTGGCAGTCCATCCCCAATCCTTGAAGAGTTTAAGGAGTGTGTTTCTCTGTACTCCATGGGGTATGGGGTGAAGCCGGAACACTTTGGAGACTCGTACATCGACGAAAGGAATGTCTGGTCGAAGCTCTTTGGATGCCGCGGCAGCGTGTGCCGCTTGAACTCGAATTCCATATCTGTCTTTGACCCTGACCAGTGCTTGAGCTCCATCAAAGGACTTGAGTGCACGAATGGCAGCAATCCTGTCAGACTTGGGAAGCCATACCACTGCAAACTTTGGATCCGTGCCGGAGAGATCTGCTTTGCGAGGCTCAATGTAGACCCCGGCTATCGAAGATTCAAGGACCTGATTTGCAGTAAGAGCTGCCACTCTGAGATAGAGCTGGTAGATGCATGCATCCGTAGGATTCGCAATCTTTCCGGACTCGGAAAGGAATTTTCTGGCCCAAACTTCTTGGATGGCACCGTCAATCTCCTCATCGAGAGGCGGATGGAACTTTGGGCAGTCTGTGCCGCACTTGCGACCGCGACAAAGTTGAAGAGCTGGCAGTAGCTCAGTGAGATGTCGCACTGGATGCTTAATGAAGAGATCCCAAGCTGATTCAAGCTCATCTCTATAGATGACCACCTTGAAAACAGATGTGTCCAACACTGCCAGCTTGGTGTCTGAAGCTCCATAGTGCCGATGAATGTCGATGTCTCCCAGGCAAACCATAGTGCTTTGATCAGCATAGGCTCTTTATGCACACCATAAACGGCAGGGGATCTCATAGAGATGACCTTGGCTGAGGCCAAAGCTTCGGAAGGTAGTGGTGGAAGCACGAGAAGTGCCAATGCATCGGTGCTGATGCTCTTAGGGTCCGCAATGAAAGCCCGAGCGTCTGCCTGAGTGCAGATGGCAATGCCCCGTCCATTGGAGCGTACTTCATTGAATTGAATCTGCGGGATGTCGTCACCATCCTCATCCTTGAAATGTGATTTGTCAAGTTGGAGCATAGTGACATCAAGTTGCTCAGCAGAGATGCGAGGTGCTACCGTCCGGCTCTTCTTGTCCTTGGCCCTCGGAACATGAGCTCCATGCTTGGATTTCGCACGGGCCGCAATTTGTGCTTCCAACTCCTCATGAGTAACAAGGCGGATGGAGGTGCCTGGCTGTGATGCCTTGTCTTTGAGGGCTGCCCAGGGATTGCGACTGTTCAAGGCTTGTTGGATGGCAGTCATGCCGACTTTGTTTGCCACAAGCTGAGCACGTTCTGATGCCGCCTGAGGGAAAACTCCATGCTTGACCAGGAACTCAGCCAACTGCTGAAGGGCAGAGGCATCTGCAGGTCCCTTGGCCCGAAAGGTTTCAGAGCCCGAGTGACGAAGCAGCCAAAGGTGCAGGGCCTTGACCGCATTGGGCATGAGCAACCCTGGAAGTCCAAGAGCGGCAGCCATATGCAGAAGTGCAAGTGTGCCACAAGAAAATGAGTCCCGTTGTACGTACAGCGTGGAGTACTGAAAAGAGTCAACCCGACCACCTAAAAGTCCAGTGATACGGGTAGCCAAAATCAAGGCTAAGGTTCGAAGTCCATCGGAGAGAGGGTCAAGGTAAGTCCAATGCAGATCATGCCCATGTCGGCGCCCCCATAGAAGAGCCCAATGCCCCTCTGCAGCAAAGATGCAGAAGCATTCCTGGATGCCAGATGCCATACCAGGTGCAAGTCCAAGGCTATGTGGAGCCTGGGAAACGTCAAGGAGTTGCGCAGCAACTTCAGGTGAGAGAAGCAACGGTTCCATCCATTGAGGTGCTGGGTGAGAGACTGCATGACTTGCCAAATGAGGCGGGCGCCAAGTCCAGGCACCGCAGCAGCTGCGACAGGAAATCCAGGACCGTTGGCGGAGCCCAGTGAAGGGGGCGCAGCAAAGGAATGAAGTCCATCGTGGCCACATGCCTCGAGTGTGGTGGTAGTCCTCAAAGTAGGGAACGAGTGTGGCCCCAGTGGGCGAAGTCGAAGGGACTGCCAGATTCTTGCATCACGTGAAAAGAGACGTCCCGTGCTGTCAACAAAGAGGTATGTGGTCTCGAATGGCTTGGATTCCAATGCTTGAAAAAGAAATTGGCCTGCACGTTGCAGCTCAACCCAATGCTCTTGGCCGTGCTGGAGGGAGATGACGATCATCTCGTCATGGCAAACTTTGGAGTAAGGACCTTCAACTCGCAGGCGATAGCATCTCCCATTAGGAATCGCAGGAAACCGCTCAAACATGGAAAGTTGACGGTCATCTTCAAAGAGGGCACAGCTAGCTTCTGGGTGTAGTTGAAGCTTCTCTGCACGCAGAAGATCAGCTGCAAGATTAGTCCCAGCTGCAAACAGGGTCAATTCAGCTCCATCCTCAGCCACAATGCAAAGGCTTGTGAGTGGTACGTCGAGATGATGGGCTCCATAGAACTGTCGAATGAGCTCACGCTTGAAACTGTCAAGGACCTGCGCTGGGTCAATCGCGAAAATGTCTGGAATGGCTCTGCTGACCGATCTGACAAGCATGGCATAGGCCCACACAGCCTGCATTGGCGATGCCACATTGCCGAGTAATGGCAGGGTGTCCCGTGGAGTGGTATGGAACTTCATGGAGCTTGCAATGCCGAGCATGAATGCAAGCTCATGTGGGTGGAGCAGTCGAGGCTGTCCTGTCAATGAAGAAGTCACATAGCAACCGCGAATACCCTTTTGCTTCAACGCCTCAGCGGACATGGCTTGTCGTCGGCATCCGCAAGGGCATGGCCCAAACCACGATCCATAGCTATGCAGGATTGTGGGAAGTTGATGCTGCATCCCGTACCAGCGTTGGTCAGTGCCATATGTGGCGTCCTGGAAGATAAAGTATTCATCTTGGGTCAGGCACAAGTCATCTTCATCGTCAATCGCCCATGCAGGCCAACTCTTGAGAAGTGCTCCTGTCGTAGGGAAGCGTGGATCTGTAGCCCAACCATGAAAAGGTCCTGCAAGCCAGATAGGTGGGGCAAGAATGCCCCACCAGCGTGCCCGGCGCATCGGCCACTGCAGCTTTAGGTCAAGCATCAAATCAATCTTCTCCCAACCCATGGCCCCGCAGACTAATTCTAGTGCCTCCTGAACTGCAACTGTAGTGCAGGCCATAGGAACGCACTCCACAATGAGCGACTGCAACTGAAGATACCATGTGGCCTTCAGTCCTCCAAGCAATGTGTCAAATCGAACATCTTGCTCACCCAGTTGACGACCCTGCATGCTGTAGGGCTGACACGGGAATCCGAAGAAGCCTGTCGTAGGAAGGCCATTGAGCACTTCATGAGCCGATCTGATCGCTGCCAAGGAGCCGATGTCATCATGGATGATGAAGCCGTGTTCATTGTGCTTCAAATGCTCCACGGCATAGTTGCAGCTTTCAATGCAAACCCTAATCCGTGCTCCCATGAAGAGAGCACCCAATCCCATAGCTCCGCTGCCAGCAGCGAGCTCAATGATGTTCTCGCCAAATGTCCTAGGCATAGTGGAGCATGGATAGGCCTGACTCGAAGCGGTGGCCGACAAAATGAGGGGGTCCATGCAAGACACCTTCCAATCATAGAGAGTCACCTTAGTGCAACCGGTGGGGATAAGACCGCAATCCGCCACCAAAGCTTCCATCTCCCAAGGAAGCAGCAGAGTGACCCAAAAAGCCCCATCGCCGGTCAGCGTGGATCGAAAAGAGGCCACGCCGGACCAGCTATCATCAACGGCCGCCGGAGGCGTACCGAAGACGGCTTTCTCCGTGGAACCCTCACCCAATCGCTTTGCCGACTACGCTTCACCACTGTAAGGGGATTGGGCCCGAAGCTATTAGTGTCACCATTAGAATTGGTTACCATTGGTCATTAGTGCTACTGCTACCATTAGTGTTACCCATCCATTGGAAGGTCTGGGTTCTAACAACAGCACGTCCCGGAGAGGAACATCCTCCCGCAGGATCGCAAAAAAAAGAAGAACTCAAGAATGTTTAAAGTAAGATGTTTACATCTTCATCCAAAAGTCATCCCATTCATCGTGACACCGGTGACCGGTGTTTGACCGGTTCACCGGTCAACCGGTGACCGTCGCCAGGTCCACCCGGTCGCGGCCCAGAGGTCCGAACAGACCCCGACGATCACCAGGTCTACAGTAGCTCCGGTGGAAGGGATGGCGGAGTGCTTTTGAAGGAGCTTGTTCTTTTTCCTATGTGTTTAAACAGGGCATGTTTTGGAGGGTCTGAGGTATTTTCAGGGCCAGGTTTCTAATCAGGCAGCATTTCACTCTTTGTGATGGCATTCGATGTGTTAAGATACCGGAGAGCAGCGCATGTAGAAAACCGGCGAGTGTTGTTTTTCTTTGGTGTCAGCGTAGAAGTACAAGTTGTTCATAAACCCAATGAGCAAAATATGACATTGTACGACTGTATGACATGGTCAGGCGTGGTCAGACGTGCCTTATAACCGTGCTTTAACTCCTTGGGTTGTTCACCCAGTCACAGTCCCCAAAAAAGTCATCACAAGCTTGTTGCTCTAACCACATGGGTACAGCACCACCTCGGAATCCACAGAAAGATTGCTTGTGGGATACATTCAATGCATGCTTCTCTGGGGCGAATCGTTTGAAAACAGCTGGTGTCTCTTGAAATCGCTGGACCCTGTCATACGTGGGTTTCCTTTTGCCAATACACACCCAATGACCACGCCGACGGTTCATTCCCTCCGCGGCGTTAACTCGCCGAGCCAGACGAGGCTTTGATGAGCTGGTCCGGAAGTACAAAGGTGCTTTTTCCCTAGCTCAGATCGAGGAGTATTGGTTGGAGGAGACAGACCTTGCTGTGGAGTGTGCTGTCGGGGTTGATATTGAAAATATTGTTAATGATGGTAACAAGGTCATCCTCAACGATCTGAGTCAAATAAGCCAGGTTTTGCAACCATTTTGCGTCCCAAGTCATTAAAACATGTGTGTATGATTATGTATGTGGGCGTGTGTGTTCAACGGCGTGTTTTTTGGACCCATACTGGTTGTGTGTGTGTGTGTCAAACCCTGTCCCGAAGGGCTGTTCACCTCGGAATCGTTTTTTCAAGCAGGGGCACACGGCATCCATGACCTACCGTGTGCAACGAAGCTGCGGTCATGGATGGGAAGGGAAGGCTGATCACCTTCCTGTACCTGCTTTCAACATACTGACTCCACTGGTTCCCCTTGCTGCAGTTTTTTGATTTCATGGTTGTTCTCATGCTACCTTCCCCATAAACAGGTTTCCACCGCTCGTGAGCTGCCGCTGAGTCAATGCAGATGCGCATCAACACTTGTTCAACAATACTTTTCTGCGGACCCATGCACCTTTCCGTTCCTTCACCTTCCTTCTCAACTTGGGAACTGAGTTAACTGAAAACCAATGTCAGAGTGTGAACCGCTCAGCCGTCCCACTTGGGTGCTGGGTGTGATTCCCGTCACTGGGGCGCTGAAGTCATGCTGGAAATCGTGTAACAGACTTTTCGGATCTTTCATTCCTTGGATTTTCTTAACTGACTCCTTTTCACCACTGGATTAACTGCTCCAATAGCCGCCGGGCTTGTACGGAGAATGAACCCAAACGCGGTTTCTACCCCAAACACCCCAACCCCTCCCACCCACTAATTAGGGTAACAGAGGGAAATGGTACTCGGCACACTTGTGTGTCGGTGCCTTTCCCTCTGCTGTCCCTTTTCTAGTCTTCTCTACCCGGGCGGTCTAAGACTAAAGTCCCGCTCCCTAACTATTGCATTTAATTCACTTCCGCTAAGTAATCAGTAATTCTAGAGTGCTAAGTATTCATACACACACACGGACACACACATGTACATACACCTCCCTGCCCCCCCGCTTTCCTTCTTGTGCTTTCTCTCAGGCTTTTTAGGTTGCTCTTGAGGCTCGTTTCCCTACCCCAGTCAAGGGCTAAGTATTCACTTTTTTCTACTCCTACCTTTCTCTCTTGCCCTCTTAGCGCTGCTCTTTCTGTGTTTCTTTCTTTTGTTTCTAAGGCTTTTTAGGTACCTATTCAGGTCGTTCGCACGTGCGCCCATACTGACTCCACTGGTTCCCCTTGCTGCTGTTTTTTGATTTCATGGTTGTTCTCATGCTACCTTCCCCATAAACAGGTTTCCACCGCTCGTGAGCTGCCGCTGAGTCACTGCAGATGCGCATCAACACGTGTTCAACAATACTTTTCCGCGGACCCATGCACCTTTCCGTTCCTTCACCTTCCTTCTCGACTTGGGAACTGAGTTAACTGAAAACCAATGTCAGAGTGTGTTCGACTGCAATGTCAGAGTGTGTTCCCAAGGAAGAACTCTATTATATACTTCCCTGGAATCAGTTGATTGGACCCACTTGATTGCCAGGAGTGCCAGTTGTACTGACACCGACCTCACCAACCTTTGCTTGCTTTCGAGGAGAAAAACTGGTGTCACCTGTCGCTGAGTGTCCTGCAGTGGGAGATGCCCTTGGAGCCTGTTTTCATCCGGAAAAGGATGCATGAACAAAATGACGTCGACGGGTGTTCTGCTCAAAAACAAGAAATGAGCATGAACAATCATGTGTTGCTTCAACAGCTGCGGAGAAGACACTTTAATAGCAGAGCAACAAGAACGGTATATATGAGTGTCCATTGTCCGGTTGGGTGTCTCAGATTCGTCGATCGTGAACATCTTCAAAGGACCGCCCGCCCTGGCCTGTTGATAACTCTCTTCGGGTTGGGTGGAGATACACGTTTGGATCGATCAGAGACGCGAGACCCGACGTGTTCCGTGTTCGTCACCGAAGGTGTTCCGTGTTCGTGTCGACGGAGTTCCAGAGTTCCAGAGTCGCACACAAGACATCCAACCGATGGGACCAAGAAGTGACTGCGGGACTGCACGCGGGCGCACGCCTGCGCAGGTGCTTCTCCTAGTCCTCTCTGCAGATGCTTGGGACTTGGGAGAACCAGGAGATCCAATGGTGGACCGCACGGGAGACCAAAGTCTGCACAAGCCTTATCCCATCCTTTTCAAATGTCAACTTGGGTCGACCACCTTGGAAGCTGCTCCACCAATTCCGGAAGCTGTAGACACCCTGGCCCTGGCTGGGTGGTCTATCTATTTCCTTCGTCCCAAGGGGTCGGAACGTCGACCCAGGTGGTTCAACACCCCAACAACTGGGATAGGAAGAGTGTGTAACAAGCCTACACCCCATCACACGACTAAAACAAGCCTAATGCTACAGTAACAGGTCATGGATTGTTGGGTCATCTTTGTATATGATCCATCCATATCCATCCAACGAGCGAATGCGTTCTTTCTTTGAAGTGGGGCAGAGCAACCCAGGGCTAAGCCACGGGGGTCTCTATTCTGACCAGCGAATGGCGAGAAATCCTTTTGGAACGCACCTTCAGTGGTGGACCCATCTCGAAAGGGTGGCTTGTCGGTGGTGTTTTCTAGGTCCTTCAGTTCGTACAGCAAGACGGAGGAATGCCTTTGGTGGAATCATTTTTTGGTAGACGTGACATCATGGAGGTCATGTTTCTTTTCTCTACGCGATCGATCCACCTCCGGGCAAGGTGCTTGAGAATATTTGGCATGCAAACGATTTTCTGAGTTTTTGAGAAGTTTTGTCACCCATTGTGTGACGTGGCAGTGTCTCGAAAATATGGTGTTCCTGAGCTTTAGTTACTTTCCGCTGTACTGGGGCAAGCCATGGCTTGTGCACTCAGACAAACTGGTGCCCATGCAGTGTCGAAGTATACCAGGATACCAGCTGCAAGTCGTTATACCACTGATCACGATCAAAGTGAAGGCACTTGCGATTTCCCAACAGATCAATCACCCAGAAGGACGGGGACGATGCCTGCGATAGATACACCTCCCATTTCACACCTGGTCGCTATCTCTGGAGACGAAAGCACTTGCCCTTTGGGGCCATCGGAAGTCTGCAGTACTCATGTGAGAGTTGAGCAACAAGTCTGTCACTACGTGTTGAGGATGTCCAATGCAACCATTCCCAACACACCACAACCAGACAATAGTGTGACCTGTAATTGTATATGAACTAGCCTGTATTATCCCTACCTGCGACCCCCAAACCTCCAAAATTACTTGCCAAAGGTTTGTCAAAGGACAAGATTCTTCGTCACTATGTTCAAGAAACCATATACAATATAACCAGACAAAGACGTGCCGGAGCTACTAGACAATATATAACCAACCGCCACCCCTCTTATCTCCTTTGACATCTATAGTTATTGAAAGTTCACCCCAAAACATCCGCTATGATGGCACTTGCCCCGAAACGAAGAGATCAACGACCCATCGCGCTTCGGATGCCCCATGGCGGATGAAGCGCCTGCGCTTTGCCGATGGCAGCGACTCCCAGGAGTGGGCACTGCGGAGACGCAGCACAGGATGCTGTAGAATGTAGAATCACATCATAAACCCATCCTTTTAGGGTGATTTTATGGAATTTTGTTCATCGAGAGTCTACATTAAGAATATCCTTTGTTGGGCTTCCAGCACCTTGGTCACCCACAATCTTTTAGACCCCATACTACTCAATCAAACCGAGAGGAAAGCCCTACTAGGGAAGCTAAACGTTCTAGCACGTTATCATGTGTTCGTTCTTGAGATGTTGACCTGTGTTTTGGCCCATTTCAGTGACTTGTTCCAGCTACTTTACTTACAGAACTCCAAATGGTTCCAAGACGCGAGGAAGCGACTGAAACGACTATAGGTTGTAGTATGTTGTAGTCATTTACAAGGGTGAAGATCATCATTATGGCTCCACTCAGCTCCATTTTTCAAGCTGAGGTCCTAATCAATCATGGGATCCAACTGCTCAGTGAAACCGCCACCGACACCGCCTCCCTCCCCAGGAGAAGCGCTCCAAGGGAGGCCGTGGACTGGGCACGGTGCTTTGCTACAACGGCCGGCGGCAGACGGGACGCGTGCGCTGTGACGATGGTGCCTTAGAACTGAGCGCGGGACGCCGGCGGCGCAAGTGGCGAAGGGGGCAGCGTCGCTGGGTTCGCTGGCGCAGGAGACAAGCTTTGGACAAGGGTTTTGCACACATGAAGCTCACCCACCGCGGTCGTTCGCAGCTCCCAAGGACCCCGGGAGCTCGGGGTCGTCCACCAGGTACGAGAAAAACCGGTCGGTAGATGCTGTTGCCATGACCCACAGCCATATTAGGAGACCCCATAAGGCCCAATTGGTTTGATAGTTAATGTTCCTTCTTCGAAGAGGTCAAACCAAGAGGTCTGGAGAGCAAAATCCCCATGGTGAATCTATTCTAAAAGGTTCAAGAGGTGGAAACTGCGCTGGGCGGAATGACATGGAAGCTGGCAAGGAACAGTGTTTGTTTGTGACAGCGGTGCTCTTGAAACAGTATTTACATGTGTTTACCCAACGAAGAACAACCGAGAAGATTTGTTTGGCTTGATGGTGGGCTTTGACACTGAACGATTTCTTATCATGTGGTGATTTCTAGGAAGCTTTTGTTGCTTTCCACGTTGCAGTTTCAGTGTACTACTGTTGTGTACTTTGTGTTTCTACCGTTACTGTACTATATCTGGTTTAATTAAGTTTCCAGGACACTAGTTTAATGGATTTTGACAAGTTGGTTTGCCGTGAACAATAAGCATGTTTGATAGATGATCCCAATTTGTAGCCTGTGGTTCTATAAACAATAGGTTTCTGGCTTGTAGAGGTCAATTGAGTCATCCCTCCAGCAAAAAGTGCATGAACACGTGTCAACACCATATCAACAGAACCTGTTTTTATAGCTATGTTCTGATGTGTGCTTCAAGAGTATGCAGACAACTCAGAGAACCCTTCATTATCCCTTTAACAAAACGCCGCTGAAGAGCGCTGATAACCAGTGTGCAAACCTCCACACTTAATACCTCTGGACATCTCTCGTTCCTTTCAAAACCGCAGACCCTACAGTAACCCCCCATGACACCCTCATGCCGAATTCGGCGACTTTGGATTCCCCAGTTCGGCCCATGTTTGGAGGTGAAGAGCTGCTGATCCCCAGCGGCGGTGCGGTGAACCGGAACATGGTGCCGCTGACCCCGTCGGGGCTCATGCGCCTCGTCCACATCCACCGTGGTTCGGTTCGGTCGAGTCCACAGGGTCATTGAGGTACCGCACTGAGTCGGAGGCGTGTGGCGGTGGTCCTTCTTTTTTTACGAAGCACGAGGTCATTTCCGACTGGAGCTGATGTTTTTGAGAGCGAACGCTGGTGTGAGAGCCGAAGCTGTGGTTGGTGGGACAGATGGGATGATTTTTTGCTCTTCATGACGAAAGATGGCAGCATTTGTAAAGCGCCCTTAGAAACTTATAGGTTGAAGTGTTAGTGTTTTTTATTTTCATCATATTCTATATAGATGTTCTTACATTGTTCCGTAGAATCTGCCCCCGCCACCTAAATTCATCACTCATCAATACTCATCACATCACATGGTCTTGTCGTGCAAAAGATGCACAGCGGACCATGGGACCAAGGGAGACCTCGTCAGATGGTGAGACAACGTGGATGTTTGAGACAACGTGGCAGACCTTGCCTGCTGACAGCATGGTCGGGGTTGAACTATTTGTGAGAAGGTGTTTGGAGTGGGATTGAGGGTACACCGTGACACATATGAGCAGATAGTTGGAGGCCCATGTAGGGATCAATCATCCAATGTTCATGTTCTTTTTGTGGCCAATGGACTGCTTCACTACCTACTATACCAGGCATTCCCATCCATCTCGCCTCAGACGCCCCAGCAGATCCATCGGCCAGTGAGGCATGGCACTCGAGTGCAGCTGCTGCCCGATGGCCACGAGAAGAAGGCGGTCTCCGTGCGCCCCGCCGAAGCAAAGCAACAGGGGCTCACCGTGGGGGTCGACAACCAGGTGAACTACCGAGGCGTGAGACGGCGTCGTATTTCATGTCGAGCGCACGTGGGGGTTTGTTGCGGTAGGGCGTCCGGTTGGAAGCAGTGGGGCGGTGGAGACAGCTTATTCTTGGTGGGGGAAGGGGAGGCGTTTGGAGTGTGTGTTTCAGTGTTGGAAAGGGTGGCCAGGCGACTAGGAGGCTCAGCGTTTGCGTTGTCTTTGTGCTCTATGCTTGCTCTTTCATTTATATCTGTTCCTTTTTCTTTCTCACGTGGCCAAACATTCACACCAAGCATCACACAAAGCCATCGCTGCCGCTCGACTTCCTGCCTCGCGTTCAGGCCTCGTTCGGGCCGTCGTTGGAAGGCGAAGATCGCAGTGAGCTCTGTGCGGCGGACGTCCTGGACATCGGCTTTCTCATCGGTGCCGCGGGCGAGGGAGACCCCCCCCAAACCGTGTGTGATGTTCAAGAGGGAGACCCCCTCACTCCTCACCCAATGGGTAGTCAGACTTCTCTATTTCCTTGCTTCCAAGGGGTTCGTTGCCTGGGAGGTCTCCCTATTTTCAGACACACACACATATAGGGGTGGAGACTCAGATTGGAGTAATTTTGGTTGGACAATGGCAGGGAAGAGGACATGAGGGGTCATTCATGGTCATTCCAATAAGCTTCCTAGAATACGATCAAAACAATGACAACATGTTGTTTTCATAACAACAGAATGAATATGATATAGAATTTGTGGTGAGTGCACCAGGTGATGAGCGTTACTAGGAGGAGTTGTCATTCAGGACCATTCGCAGGTCGGGAATCGCACCCCGTCTTTACACCACCTTTTCTGTTGAAAACCATGGTGTTCAATTGAGCAGCTTCAAACACCTGGATTATACAAAAAAGTAATAGGGGTTTTCGAAGCTGTTCAATTGTTGGGGGTGGAATGAACCTATCAAAGCATTTCTACACTCTTCTCAGCTAGGCGAGTTCGCTCAGTTTGGCTCACATTTAGCTTAAGCTTAAGGCCAAGAAAAGCCATATGTTTTTTCAAACTCACCATTGTTTGGAGACTATGTGATTGAAAATCGATCTAAAGAAACTCAAAGAATATATTTCATTGTTCTAGAGTTTTTGGAGACCACAAAGCAATTCGGATCGATTCCGGCACGGTGCCCCGCACCAATTCACTCCACTCGCCAGGGATCCTCGACGGTCATTGCGGCGGCCAATGCGCTTCCCACGTGGCCAATGGCTTTCCGAAGATTCTCCACGACGTCTATGGCTTCGAGGTGAACCAAACACGAGGCCGTCGAAGTGACCGATCCCGGAAGAAGTGACCGGTGGACCCGAGGGAGGAGAGGTGGGGAGCTGAAGTGACAGGTGCCGTCCACGTCAAAACACGGCTTTGGAGCTGCAGCGACTTCGGTGCCACGCGGTCGTGGCAAGAGCACGACGTTGCCATTTGCACTTGCCATCAACACCTTCAAGTCAATGGTGTAGTCAGTGGATCAGGCATGCTTGGCCACTTGTTTCCTCCAATGGTGCCTTTTCAAAGTGGGGTTCCGTCTCCACCAGCCAATAAGTCACCTCCACTGCAGGTTTAAGATTGAGGAACAGTGGAGGGGGTGGTTTAAGTGATTATTATATGGTCACGGCATATTCATGCTCACCATCAAATACATACACTGCAGTATGTACAGTATCTCTATATGTACACAATATATACAGTGTGTTTTTTCATTGTTCATCACCTATTACTATTTCACCACATGTGACTCACTTGACAAAGATGTCACAACAACTAAGCTCCAAGCTCTTGATGAAAAGCTCGCTGGAGCTCCAAAGTTCACTAGCTAGAGTTCTGCCAAACCATGCCAAACCCCATATGGATCCACATGCCTTCTGAGAAGTTGAGCAGTGTCGACTGTTGACGGCTTGGAGGCTCCAGTCGATCATGGTGGATGTTTTAAGGGTTTCGACAGGTTTCGACCCTGGACTCGGCCCTAAGTCTCACGCTTCGACACGGACAAGGCGTGGACACTTTGAGCTGCGCCCGCGAGACCGAGCTCCTGCGCGACGTGCTGCGCAGCTCCTGTCGCGCCGCAGAGCGCGACCTGACGCTCGTCGTCGACAGCGCAGGGGATTTCAGTGGCCATTGAATGTGGAAGTATAGTAGAAAGGTGGCCCATGGGTTCTGCGAGTGGATGTGAGTCAAACTGAAGTTTAAACATTATAACTAATCCAGGTGCTGACCCATGGGAATGTCATGACAAGGCACCCTTTGATGAATCGGAATGGATTCCACCACCCGAGCCCATGCTTGAGCCGTAGAACCCAGGCAGGCATACGACTACCAACCAGTCAGTGCTTTTTGGCCACTCGTGATGGACATGAGTGTGTTGTGAGCCCAAAACCGTTTGTTGATACGCATACCCCAGCCCAAAGTTGTGGCAATTATGGAGGGAACAATTGATTCTGACGATTTGTTGGGTAATGAAAAGGATATGAGCTCATCCTTGGTCTTCTATCCCTACAGGGATCCACATATACCTTTTCAGATGGCACAACTGGACCCTCCAAGCCATAGCCCTATGCCTCCCCTGCTCACCCGATCCGACGCGATGCGACGCGACGCCCGGACAGGATGTTGACTGCTTCGAAGGGTCACTGGACCGATGGGCTCCTTGGCGGGAAGAGGAACACCGTAAACACCCTCCGTAGCTGCGAAAGCCAAAGGGGAAAGGTTGTTTTATCTGTTTTTATATGGATGGAACCCTGAAAGCTGGCGGGCATAGTAGCTGGCAGAAGGTGGGTTCTGAATTTGGCAGTGATTTGTCCTGAATGTGTATTTGGGCTTTTGAAGAGGTTTGGGGCACAGAAGGAAGGACGATTCAATGACTCGAGTGCAAGTTTTGTTGATTCGCACGAAGACCGCTCGTGATTCGCTCGTGACGCGCTCGTGGACTGCCAGCAGCACGGCTTTCGGGTCTCCAGGTCCAGGTCACCCGAGAAAAGAGGTCCTTCGGGGTGGACCATTCCATGGCCTTTTGAAGTCTTTTGAACAGACTCGGTGTTGCATCATGGGTCAGACTAATTATTGTAAGCCAATGTTCATGTTTTTTTGAAATCCGCCCTTGCCATTAAGCGCCATTAAGTTGGTATCTCAATTGTATATTATCTTCGAGTTATTTCAATATTAATATACCCAAACACTCCATCTATGTCAAATTTGCCTACATGGGGGTGGTTGGGGTCAACGGCGCGGCATTCTCCCGTCCCATGGGTCGTGGGAGATACACACGCCGTCCCCGTCGTCCCCGTTTCCACGTGCCGTTCGTTTTGTCAGGACTTCAGCCATGTTTGCCCTGCTGGCTCATGGCTTCGACGAAGAGGGTGCGCCAGTGACGGTGCCGGGCACCAAGGGCGTGGCCAAGGTCTTCTTAGCATCTCGGTGTGCACTGCCTGGCACGGTCGGAGTAGGTATAGACAGCACTTGTCTTTTTTGTATATAGTAGATGTGGTAGGGGTGTGTGTGTGTGTGTGTGTGTTTTTCTTTGTGGACCAAACACTGTCCGTAGGATTCTAAGCTTGGAGCCTCTTGCACATGTCTTGAACCAACAACTGTCAACAAACTGCAGAAGTAGATAGAGAACAGCACTGAACGTGGAAGTCCGACAAGAGATAGAACATATTAGTTATTGAAGATTCTCCACGGACTCCACAGTGAGACTATGACAAACTTAAGTTGTGATATGCCCCTTGTCTATTGTCTAATGGACACCACTTGAGATCCAGTTGAGGCAACCCTTTTTCAATTTCTCCACACCTCAACCGCTATCAGCGCAACTGTCGTAACGGCAGAACAACAGTCAGTGCTTAGGAGACTTGACAAGTTGCTTGTCGGACATGGGTGGACACTGGGGATGATGATGATGTTTACCAAGGGTGCTCTACCAGTCTCTACTTGCTTGGATTCCTCCGACTCCTCTTTGCCTCCCACATCTCCTGCCCAGGCCTGGTGTGGTGACACTCGTGCTTTGCTGCTGCATGGGCGGAAGGTGGTGCCCTTGTCGGAGGACCATGTGCCCAAGAGGCCGGTCGAGTCGGCAAAGCAGCCGAGTCGTTTTCCGGGCGACGGCCTCAACGCTCTCCTCGGTGTTTCAGAGCAAGAGACGTTCGTCCAAAGGGCGTATACTGACCATGCAAGCACCGGAGGATCGGAACGAACGATCAAAAACACTTAAAACATAACACATTGGCCAATTAGCCTTCCTTCGGTGGTCTGTGCTACTTGCCTTGAAATCATGTGGCATGCAGCGATGAACCTGGAAGCTTGGAGGCAACTGTAGAGGGTCGTCTTGGGTGTGTGTTTTATTAGGGAGACTTCCCAACCCCGCAGGGTCTTTGGGTGTGTGTTTTTGATTTTCCCAGAGGTCGAACTGAGGGGTCTCCCTATTGACACACACCCCATTGTGTGCTGAAGATGCAAGGAATCCACAGTTCAAGTTCTCCAATCCGTGAAGCGGCATGCCCAAACGCGTCCTTCCCTAAACCTAAAGGTTTTTTTTCAGAATGTCCTGCAATCGACCCCCTCGATGAACCAAAGCAGGCGGTTTCCTTTGTACTACACATCGCTGGCCAACACGGCTGGCCATCTGCGGTGCCGTGGTGGTTTTCATCGCAGGAAAGACGAGTACAACCGGGTGAAGGCAGCAGGTGGCAAAGTCCTGGACTTCGACGGGAAACTGAAGGCCCCAGGACCGAGTTCGCGGGAAGGTCCTCCCCCAGTGTCGGATGCGGAAGGTTTGGAAGGGAAGGAGACAGAAACGGATTGAAGAGATCCCCCACAGACTCCATAAGACTGGCATATGTGCTGATTAGTTGGGGTGGTTTAAGTTTGGTCAATGTAGACACAGATGGCATACGTGGAGTGTGTGGTGTTGATGAATAAGCCCACCCAGCCCAACTGGATGGTCAACATCTCCATGATGGATGGTGTTAAATTGTTTAGGTCAATGGCTCAACCGTGACGTGAGTAGCCTGACACCCCTTACATCCGCAAATCAATCTGCAGAGACGTGAGGAGAAACGTTTCAACAGCAAGAGTGCGTGAGCTCGGTCCCAAAGCAGGAACACATGTAGCAACACATGTAGCAAGATTTAAAGAAAGAAGAACACCACATGTGGGAGACGCGTAGGTATGGGGTAGGTTTCTATAGTTGTTTTGTTTGCGAAAACAACATGTATGTGTTTATATGTATAAGCCTTGTCAGACTTATCAAGTGCTTTCAGTGAACCAGCATGCATCCAACATGTTTTCAGAGAACCCGCATGTGTATGTGCTTGTTCCAGTGTCCAGACGATCAGACATTTCCGATCGCCAGGGTTGACACGGCGATCACGGCCTCAGCAGTGTAGACACCTCAGTACCAGAGACGAACCGCCCTCATAGAACACGGTGCCTGTCCAACAAGACAGGTGGGACGAAGAGACAAATACAAGGAGAAGAAGTCCTCAGGCACGCGTTGCTTCGGGTCAGGAACTGCACCAGTTTTGCAACATATCCAGGGGCCTCATAGGGTCCGGATGTGCCGGTTGCACGCCGTTCGACGAAGTCTCTGTGGACTTCGTGGCTGGATGTAGCGCTTCGATGTGTAGCCTGCAGAACATGGAACGTTGAACAAACCAGAACAAACAATCAAATAGATCAAATAGTTACAACATGTTACAACATGTTATGCATGTAATAACCGAATTCAGAGCAGCACACTGAGGGCCTCAGGGTCAGGCACCCATTCTGATGAGAATACATCGTGTTCTGAGTCTTAACATATATAGAAATAGTAGCTGAGCCACGTAACACCTCAACGCAAGCTACGTCCTGCCAACTAGCTAGGGCAGATCAATACTGGAACATGCCTTGTAGACATGGGAGAAGTGCATTTGTCTTCTGGACGTTTCCGTCAACCCTGATCACTTGAAGAGATCACCATGGGGCAGCATATATGGTTTGAAATTGAACAAAGATCTTTCGTTGATCAGCCCTGTCGTTCATGTCACCTATACATTTTGCCCGCCCTTTTGCAGGCTGCGTCGCACCGGTCGTCACGCTCTCAGGCGCCTACAAAGATCTCGTTTGGTTGGAGACCACGCGGTCCTTTGGTGACATCCGCTTGAAGGCGCCTCACAACATTGCTCCTCGCGTGCACGGGTTCGATCGGATTGGGATTGCGCCGGCTCTGTCTATGTCATCCCATGTCAATCCTCCGTTTAAAAAAGAAAAATAAACACACTCATGTCGGACGACATGACATGGCTTTAGAATTTTGACTGAGCTCCCCATGTCCACAATTGGCAGCAGACTACGTATGGTATACTTTTCTCCATGTCTCAAATATAGATATCTTGATTACTAATCAACGGGGAATTCATCGAATTGCTCATGTTTACTTTATATGAATTGGGTGTTCTCTAATTTGCCACGCACCTACAATAATGCGTTAATTTGTTTGTTGAACCAATACCCTGGGAAACAACCTTATTCTGCATGTCTATACACCAAAAGAATAGTTTCTATTGGACATGTCATTCCTCCTTTACTGGTACTTCATGGTACAATCAAATGTTGAAGTCGTGGCGATTTTCTATTTTTGAATCGTCTCCATTGGTGTTTGAATGTATGGAAGTCGTGGCGATGTCGCGTTTGGTTGGTGGACCCCCTTCCTGGCATCGCGTTTCCATTGGGGAACGCAAGTTTTTTTCTACTATGCAGTGACTTCCGCGGTTGAGTGTAGCATTTGTACTCAGATGTGAACTGATGTGAGGTGAAGAGCTGTACTGTTGTGGCCATCTCGTGGATCGACAGCAGTGAAGCTTGTTGACTGGAGTCACACTGGAGTCGACAACTCAGGTCATTTGTGAGCCCGACGTCTTGGTGAGGACTCTTGGACTCCGATGATCCGAGGAATTCCACCCCCACGGTCGGCTCCAACACACCGAATCTTCGTACGCTCCTATAAAACCCGGTGCGGCAGAATGCGGCAGATCTTCTTTGAACCGTTAACTCAAAACTTGCCATTCCCCCGTTCCGCCCGTGCTCCCGCCGCACACGTCCTGGTTCCGCCCTCTCTCCCGGCCTCCTCGTTCTCGCCGTTTGAGGAACCTCGCTCCCGAAGACTGGGCCTTGGTCTTGGTCTCCAGCAAGGCCATGCGGTCGCATCCGGTCGCCATCCAACGGTGACTGTATATGTGGGTCCGTCGCATCCTATCGCAAAACGATGATCCGTTGTGGTTTGTGCGAATCCATGTGTTTTGATTCAACTGAATTCGAAGGTGGTATATAGATGTCTCTAATTAAGGAGATCAAATGCTGGTTCTATCCGTCCCCATTTGTAGGTCACATATTACTATCACCACTACCAAATCATCTCAAACGAAGACCTCGCGACACGTAGTGGGACCACTCTGAAATCGCCAGTCGAAAAAACGCGCCGTCGAGGTCACCGCCAAGATGAGCAACCAGGACATCGCGGAGGTCTGCAAGGCCGGTCGATGTGTCATGTGCGGGCGGTCTTGGTGTGGAAGAATGCTGAGAACAGCGGCGCCGTAGGAAAGCGCAGATAGGGGATGGGAAGGCCACGGAAGGCCGGAACAGAGGAGCACTCTTTCATCATTTTCCATGTGAAGAGTTTGAATCAATCTGATCGACTGCACATGCGCCAAGGAGTACTTCTCACAAGGCAAAGATGCAGTCGCTGCGAGTCTCCTGGAGCAGTTGGGTCAGGGTCACCTACGGATTTGCCGTTGATTTGTTGGAGCGTTTTTGTTGGGGTCATATCATCCTTCTGCTTCGTCAACATTCCCAGGTAGACTGCTTTGTACTTTTTTTGATCATTTGTGTTTGGTGTGAGTTGACCATTGACCCAGCTTTTGTTTGTTCGGGGTCACCCGACGTGCAAGAAAACGAGCGTCCCAAAAAAAAACGCTCAAACTTGGCTTGCACGTGCTATGTCAGGTGCTTGCAGTTGCTCTTTGTTGGGTTTAGACTTTTGAGATGCTTCGATCGTAATCAGTGTTGGCTCAAGCTGTGGCCGGCACGTGATGTGTTGAGCTTTGAGCTTCATGAGTCTATGGATAGTCGTCTATGGCAGAATCTATTTTATGTTGATTGGAATGAGGTGAAGCGTTTGGAACAAAACATACAGTATCACTGGCTGGCAGCTCTGTCCGCTCCTTCGCAAGGACTCCGCTACCTCGTGCAAACAGTGCGTGACATTGAGGATTACTTTGGGAATGGTATTGGGGCTCACCAGTCTCATCCCCTTCCCCAGCCTGTTTGGATCGGTTGCTCTCCTTCTTCGACACAGCTCTCGATGTATGACACAGTGACAGTGGAGAGGCGGATGAATTCCATTACCTGCCCGTGGATGCTCAGGCTGAGCAGGTCTGAAGACGAAGCCCAGCCATCAAAAAGGTGGATTCTCAAGCCCGAAGACATTGGCCGCGAGGCTTGTGCCATGGAGGTCATTCGCAGCTTGAACAATACGTGGGAGGCAAGCGGTATCGAAGTGCGCGGCCAAAGAGTATGGGCGAAGACCTACCAAATGCTGCTGGTAAGGCCTCATGATAGTTTGGTTGAGGTCGTGGAGAACTGCGTCACACTTGGAAGTCTGAAAAGGACCAGTGGCCTGTTTGATCGGATGATCAGCAGTATCCTCCAGAGTGATTCAAGACCTGGCAGGAGAGTTGAGCGATACTTACAGAATGATGGCACTCGACTTGACTGTCTCGCCGCTTCCACGGCTGCCTTCCTTGCGTGCTCATATCTCCTTGGCATAGGAGATGGACATGGTGACAACTTCATGCTCACGGAAGATGGTGAGCTTTTCCGTGTCGACTTCTCCTTTCTCTTTGGAGACAAGCCCCGTGGGTTCGATGCGCCGGTTGTTTGGTTGCCGTGGACGGTGCAAGAGGCTGAGCGGGGGCCCGAATGGACGATGTGATCGATGCAGCTCAGAGGGCTGTGAAGGCTGTGCTGTGCAGATCAATGCAGGAAATACGTGCTACTCTCAAGGCATCGGTGTTTGAGATGGCATTTGAGTCGAAGAAGAGTCCAGAAGAGTATGTTGTGAGTCTGAGCTGCGAAGATTTCAAATGCAAAACAAGCAGTCTTGGAGCCTTTGATCTCTTCAAGTCAGCAAAAGACTTGTTCCACAATGTTGGCTACGGTCGTATTGCCAGTGAGTCTGATTGTGAGGGTATCAACCTGAAGTCTCCAGCAGCTTTGGCCCTTATCAGGTCAGGGTCTGCCACAGAGGAGTGCTCGCCAGAATCTCTAGCAGAGTTTGCCAACGCTTTACTTGACCAACCTCAAGCTGAATCAGGTTTAGATTCTGATCTCTATCAGTTAGTCAATGCTTTACTTGACCAACATCAAGCTAAATCATGTCTGGATCATGCTGAATTGCATCAGTTTCTCGAAGCTTTTCTTAACCAACATTGTCTAGATGGTCCTGTCCGTGAGTTTGTCCAAACTTATCTTGGCCATCAAGCTGAATCAGGTCTTGATGATGTTTTGATGCTTCTTCTATTCTTGGCACGGCATGAAGGCTACGAGTATTTTTCAGTAGACAGACTTCGATGACCAGAAAGCCTTTCAGGACTATGACTGCTCAATCCACGCCAAAAAGTCACAGGCACTTTCGTTCACCCGCATTTTTCTTGGTGTTTGATTTCTGAATGAGAAGATTCCTTCGATCGTGTTTTTGTCCGTCGGATGGAGCTGTTGGGTAGCTTCTCATTGGAAGTGGGAGCTCCTCTCGGGAGTACATCAAGAGCAGTCAGCTAACCACCATCTCCGGGACAAGCGATTGCTACACAACCGGGTACCTCGCAGCAATCATTGCCCAACAAACTGGGGACAGCACAAAAATCAACCAAACCACAAACCAATCTGCTTTCTTATCTTACCACATCACTGATGGAATTTGGAAGACCCTTACTTTTGAGCTTCCCTATACTACTACTTTTTGTCTAGGATGGTCTAGGTAGTATCTTGAGCTATTGACAGTGGATCCACTTGGTGATCTTGCTGGGGCGAAGCGCAGTCCCACTGCATAGAAACAGCTGCCCAGGTCAAGCGCTGACGACCGCGGCACGAAAACGCGGTGCCACAGGGAACTTGACCACGGTGGTGATGCGCTTTGGTTGGCCACCTGGGTGCAACGGAGATGACACGGGGAAAGTCGGATGGAGGGAGGGCTCCGGGGCTGCTTGCTTGGGGGAGTTGTTCGAGTTTTTGGGTGTGTGCTTGGGTGTTGGGGTGTTGGAATGTGATTCTTATAGATCTTATAGCTTGTTATGTTCTTATAGATCCACCAAGCACAGGGGCACAATAAGTCGGTGATATATGTTTGTAGATCGTGCATCCTGTCCTATACACTTTTGTTCCCAGATTTGCTGCAGAAGAGTTTTGAGGTGTCTTTGGTTTTTCAATTAATTTCACCTTTTGGGCCCTTGACAGTTCTGATGGTCCCGAAATGTTCTGGTCCGGAGAAGCACCCGTCCAGCAACTGGTCCATGAACCACTTTGCGTGGCGACTTTCACGACTTAATTTTGCACTGACTTGTCCCAGCAAGGAGAAGTGGATCACCTGCATAAAATTTGTTGAGGGGATGCATTTGCCCCACTCAAATCCAACAGATGGCAAAAGCTCAACCTTTTTCAATCTTTAATTAAACAAGGACATTGAGGGCAATTGAGGGAGTCAGTTGTAATTTGTATCATCCAACTGAGTTGGTCGTATTGAGCAACTCATATTGCTGCTTCACCTTGCTCCTCCCCCCGCCTCTCTCTCCTTGTTTTCAGAGGCAGATCTCTTGGTAGTTCATGGTTCTTGTTGCAGCTAGTAACCAGGACCATGATCATGCTTCACAGAAGATCAGTCCTGCCAGTAGTTTATACGGGTTGTGTGGATCCAGACATATCCAGACTGAGCAGTAGAACATAGCAAAACCATGAATCAAGACCACATGCCAAGGCCACGACATGCCAAGACCACATGTCCCAAGGCCCGGAACCAGACCCTTTCTCCCCTTTGCGAATTCGTGGTGATCCGGCGGTGGGAGGCGGTGGTTCTGCTAAGGACACCCTTCCAGCCCGAGTTCCTGGCAAAGAGTCGGAACTCTGGAGTCCTCCAAGTCCAGTGAGCCCACGGCCTTCATGAGCCACGCCACCGTGATGTGACGACCAAAGACGGCTTATTGGGAGGGTCCACCCCCTTAGCAGGCATTGTTTGGTAGGAATTGTTTGAACTGAAAGCTATAACGGAGATATCACAAAATCATTCCGTACAAATTCTGTATATTAATTGTGGAATTGTGGATTCAACAAAAAACGTGCCTTTTTCAGTATTTGTCAGGAACCACGACGTTATGACCTTGAAGCCATGTCAGCGTTTGCAAATGGGGAGTCCCGGATGAACTCATTTAATTACTTTAACTTATACATTTGGAGAAGACCCTCATTTATACTTGAACATACTTGTATTACTTGATCTTAAATTTGGAGAAGACCTGTTGTTTTTTCAAGATGACTCAAAATTCCAGAAGCTGCCAGCCACTCGGAAGAAATTGAGCAGCCACTGGACCTTGGGAATGGCCCCTCGAGACGAGAACAGACGTTTTTCTCCTCTTCAACCACTCCCAGTTAGCTGTAGGACAGACCCAGACTGCCACAGGATGTCCCAGACGTGTCAGGTTTGGGTAAATGACGAGACTTCCAAGTTTTCGGTTTGGGAAAGAAATCAGGAAACGGAAGACGAGACGTGTGCTGATCGATGTTCCATTCATGTTGCAAATCCTTCTTACTCAATTCGGTGCAACCCAAAAGCGGCCACTGGGAAACCATTGGGCAGCGGCAGTGGTGCAAAAAACAGTCAAAACGAGTGCATTCCTTCTTCCGCTTTGACTCAGTGATCCTTCGAGTTGTCACTTCGGAAAGCGGGTTGCGGAAAGTGGTCTCTCTCTTGAGACACATGCCGCCAAAACGGTCGTTGTATCGTCCAGTGGACGTGAGCGAACGACGCGAACTACCTGATGTGGATGTCAGTTGAACCAGTTAGTTGTTGGGTCGAGGTTAAAGCCACCAGGATGGAGGAACATGATTCTCTGCTACTGTATAATATTTAGTTCTCTCCCATTCACTAGAAAGTGTTGTACTAGAGGGGTTCTGTTAACTTTGTCGATTGCGGCATTGGTACTCAAGCGGATTGATCGCCCTTGTTGTCCTTCATTATGACCCTGTTCTTACATCCCACAAAATCTATATGGCACTGAAATATCTTATCATTTCTACACCTACTGTATTTACCCCGACCAATGTGCTTGGCAATCGATATCCAGGCTCCACTGGTGACGTTTCGAGACAAAGAGCTCCGGGCGATCCAAAAGGCAAGCGTGGATCGCACCCAAAAACGGCTGCGAAGCCAAAAGGGCTCGTCATGTCACGACGGAGTGCTGGGCGACGGGGACATCGAATGCATGGATCGATTGGTAGCATGGCTCAGTAGTTGGATCCGTGAAGGGTATGCTTGATCATGAAGCCCTACAGAAGGAAAAGATTGCGTTCTTTGCTGTTCATTGAGTAACCCGCTATATAGCCATTATATACCCCGTGCAAAACTCGCATGGACCTACATGGACCTACATGGAGCATGGGCCCTGAAAACCACGGGTTTGTAGAGGAATAAGGGTCGATGTGAGTTTTCAGGAGTGTATTTCATGGTGGGATATCATGTGCAATAAACATCGATACAAACATCTATGCATCTATGGAGTTGGATAGGCCATGCAACAGTCGTGTTCTGGAAGCATAGGAAAAATATACGAGCCAAACGTTGAGAGAGATTTCATGGGTTTGGCTCTTCAACAGTGTTCCAGTAGTTTTGACCCATCTCCATTTGGACGTGGGGAAAAACAAAACAGGTGATTGTTGACCAAGATCCAATGAAACATTGTGAGAGCTTGCATCGGGGTCGCACCTGCTGTTCACCTATGCTCCACTGGTTTCATATGCATTTCATTTTGGTTTAAGTTTGATCGACTGGTTTTGGCTTTGGATCAATCTGTATGAGTTCTTGTATTCGATCCGAGTTGATGCCGATGCCCCAAAGTCGGAGGGGAACCTTCCATGGAATGCGGCCGTTTGTTCGGTGGAATGCGCTGCCTGTTTCCTAGGCGATGCTTCAACAGCCGTGGGTGGCTGTCGCCGTGGGGTGCCAAGAAAGGAAATCACGGCAGGTGGATCTCCTCCAACAGTATCCATGAAGCGATGTTGCCAGTGCCTTTTCTTCCAACAGTCTCCTAGAAGAACAGCGGTTGTTTTTTCGTCCGGGTTTTGGCATAACTGTTCTTTCCTGGTGACCCGGTCTAACATGATTGGGATGACAATGGATAACATGAAATGGTAAGAGGTCAAAACACGCGGCCGCTTCAAACCCAGAATGAGACAGGCTTCCTTCAACAGCAAGACTTTGGATCCGTGAAGGCTAATCCTATGAGCACCTTTCGGAAGATCAATGCTGACTGATGCCTTTCTTTCCCGTTACGGCTTCCAATAGAACCACTATCCGTCAGTATCCAGGTGCTACAAAGCAGTTGACATCCCGATGCCATCGAGCCAAGGGAGGGAGCTTCTTTTCATCTGAGACGTTGGTTTGAAGGCAGGAGCAATGGGCCGACACTGTTATGCCCTGATGATTGGGCAAGCCACTACCAACGAGCACAAGGAGATGAAGATTGCTGCTTTAGGAATACCACGAGCAGGCATCATAACGTTGCAAGCTTTAAGCTTGGTGCATTGATGGGAGGGCAATGGAGCGACTTGACCTCCAATATACGCAGATGCAAAGCAAACATGGTCAAACAATACCGCAACCATCTCAAGGTCGACGCTGCGCTTTCTCCAGATTGGCCTGTCGGAATGGCTCCAGTGGTTTCTGCTACACAGAAAGCGGTTGGGCATCCTCGCGGCGCCTTTCGCCAAGCAGGGGTCCGCTGAGGTCTTTCACCTCTCAGATAACATCAAGCATGCCAAATCCATTTGGAAGTTCATCGAAACAGCTAGGACATACTCATTTCTGTTTGGTGACCTGGTATAGCATAGACTGCCAATTGCACTGCGTGGAGTCACAGGAATTCTAGCAGGGAACAAGTCATCAGTGACATGTCCTCCAAGGTTTGCACAACATATATTATGGTAGGCACCATTGCTCAACACGAGTGAACCACAGTTTGCTCGAGCCGAGGTGTTTTCGGTGCTGGCCCTGCGGCAGGGCGTCCCAGCACGATTGATTTACCCGAGTGCGCTACATGTTCCACAAAAGATCTGAGCGATTGTGAGCGCTTTAATGCATCAAAGCCCCTTTCCCGTGAAGAACCTGTTGGACCTCCCGAGTAAGTGGAACTTTTATCACAAAAAACATCGTTTCACTGCCAGTTGAGGGAGCAGGAAACTTCAAGACTTCAAGTGTCCTGTCCTTAGGATATTTCCTGTTGTTGAGTACCAGCGGCTTGGTGCAGGTGTCGTAGTTCAGATAGCGGCACCGTTTTGACCTCATCAACTTGGTCATTATTGGGATGCTTTCGAAGCCCTAAGTGTTAGAGCGTTCAACATCGGTGGCAATCAGCCAGAGGTTGCCTTTCATGAGGACAAATTGGAGATACAATGGCTGACTCGAGGTGGCATTTTGTACCCGTTGACACAGTGCGAACGTCCGAAAGGCAAATGTGCAGGGGAGGAGCGTGAAGGAAAGATTGAGACAGAGACTTTCAATGTGAAAAGGGCCCCCAGAATAAATTTACAAAAAGCCAGCAAAGGCAAATCCAATTTTGTGAAACACTTTTGCCCCATGGTGCAGGTGGCTGCAGTTGTCTCCCGCCGGCGCGCTTTCATGGCTGTGGGATTTGGTGCCCTGGCTTGGAGAACCACTCGCCCTCCTTCAGACTGAAATGGATGTGGTTCAAACCTATACAATCTATTTTTATTTATATCATATATAATAAATACCAACAGTTTAGTGCAAGTATCCTTGTCCAATGGGTTTGGACGGCACCCAAGTCTTGTGCAATGGCCAAATGTTTGAAGAGACTCTTTCTGATAGGGGAAACTCCTGTTTCAAGTTGTTCCAAGGATCTCTATTTCATTGTTCTTGACCATAAAGGCATCAATGTGAGAGAGGCATCTTTGATCCGGTGAAACTCAGACGATCATGTGTTTGTACAAGGCCACATGGTGTTGGTGGCTGTGGTGGTTTGGAGGACCTAAACCTAGGAAACCAGCTGGTGGGGCAATTTGGGTACAATTTTTGGCACCTCTGAAACAAAGGTGTTTTTCTCTGAAAACAACTGTGGATCCCCGCACAACCTTTTGGAAGTCAACACAACACCAATCCAAAGTCACAGTGGATGTTTCTTAAGGGTTGGGGATGAATTTCTACCTAGTCAGTGGATAAGCTTTTAGCTTTTGGAGGATTGGTTTCCCCACTGAAAACGAAGAGGTGGAAAAATGGCTAACTGGTTTCGAAGTGTGTTCGCAGGGGTAGCTGAACCCCACTGAACTGTTCAGTCGCAAGTGTGCCAATCTGTTTGGACCTGGACTCTGTGGTTAGGCAAATTGGAACCCACGAGGATCCACGAACGAGAGACGTATTCACTTCCTTGATCAAAGAAAAGTGAATCCGCTCCCAACATATCTCCCAACCCGTTTCTTTATTTGTTTTGGAAGTTGTGTTATCGATGAGTACGGAGATCCGAGATCGTAGGCGGTCCCTCATTGTTCGATCCTCATCACGTTTGCATTCTCTCCTTTAGCAACCACCATGTCTACGGTCCCCCAAGGCTCCAGGTATTTAAACCCTCCAAACCCAACCTAAACACCTTCTCAGAAGGTACGACTGGAGCCCACTTGATATACATTCATGTGTTTGCTTCGGGTACACCCGTCTGGTCGTCTCACTCGAGGCCCATTTGTTGCCACCCTTACGGCGCCGCATCTTGGAAAAGATGCTGCTCTTGGTGCTTTGTGTCGAGGACCCGAGCCGCTCCGTCGATGCTCGTGGATGCTCGTGGATGCTCGTGGATGCTCCGGGAGACGTGTCGACCGGTGAAGTTTCGTCGGCCTTTTCGGTAGGGGGAACACGCTGTGAACCTTTTGATCCTCAAGTGATGAAGGATAGACCTGGAGGAATCCAACTCTTGGAAATCGCCAAAAGTGACAGTCACGAAGTAGTTGGGACCTTATTGATATCTACTGACTTTTGTGTGGGGCAGTGATGGCAGCAGCCCCCGACTGCTGTGAAAACCTGGGCTTTCATGCGTTGTTGCCCCGGCAAAGGGTGTGTTTGCTCAGCGACTCCTCTTCAGTGGCACATCATGGGAAGAAGCCTTTTCCATGGGACTGACATATTTACCTGCATTGGGGTGGTTTGGAGGGTCAATATCAGCATATATTCCATGCATGGATGGCCTGGGAGTTAATCTTTGTGAAGCTGTTGGACACATTGAATGAACGAGCAGAGATCAGAGCCGGTGGCTTTGGTAGGTCGTTAGCCGTTAGCGGATAAGTAAGGCCTTAAGGATCCATAAGGTGTTTTTCATTTGAATGTCCATGCATACATGTCCTTTCGAGCCCTTACTCGCCCGCCAAACCCGTGCAAAGGATGCCAGCGTTTCCATTCCGAAAGAACAGGGAAAGCTGTGGACAGACAATTGACAGGGATGCTGCCAGGGTAATTGGTTTCGGAGGTTCCCCTCCTTTCTTCACTTACCAAAAGCCCTCCAATAAAAAGCACACTGCATGGAACAAACACACAGACCATCCAAAGCCACACATACCAGGACCCCCAAGGGCTACAAATAGACACCCCAAATGGGGGGTCCTGGTATTGCAATGCCGGAATCCTGAAGATCATGTGTTGCCAGACCCTGGGTCGTCTCAGCCGCTGGCTGATGCTCCTGGGTCTCGTGCGGGGCCTAAGCCTACGCCCAGGGGCTGCGGTGCTGACATGTCTAAAATAACGAAGGGAGGAATGGCTTATGGACTTATTTCCCTAAACCCTAAACCCGAATCAATACATATATATAGAGGCCATTTGTAATGTGATGCAATGTGTTTCTACCGCGTCGGAGTTGCCATGAAAGAAACCAAGGCGGCACAAACTCGACCCAAAGATCGCCCGGAAAGCACCGCCCCACACATCTCAACTATAGAACTTGTGGAACCGGAGGTCACACAGGGTTTGCTTGGGGGCTGGCGCCCCAATGGACGGGATCACACCTCTCCTTCAATGGACGAGGTGGACAGCCATGTCGATACACTGTGACGCATGCAAAAGCACTGTCGATCCACGGTTCTCCATGCCATTTCTTCAGATCCCATAAGCGACCCAATGGACTGCGAAGTAGTGTCGACTTGGTTTGAGAGACTTGGATGAGAACCCCCAAACGAAGTCTGGTAAATGCCAAATGAATTATATAGCTATTAATGGTTGGGAATGACATGGAATGACCGCGCCTGAACTTGTCCAACTGTTAAATGTGACATGGACATGTTTGTTGTGAAGAAGTAAATAATAGTAAATAGCATCTATACATATCTATAATATAGATCTAGAGGAGCTGAGAAACCTGTAGATAACTCAACGACAAGTTTCACAAACCAGTAAATATGTTCACCAAACATGTGTGACAACATCACCGTTACATCAGCTTGGCCAGTTAAATACATGGACGGTTTGCTCACCTTCTTGTCTGAAGACAGAAACCAGACCACAACCGAGTGGCTTGCAGTGAACTTCTATGGGCGAGAGGAGCCAGTTTTCTTCAGGGCGAACAAAACCCTGTACGAGCTCCTTTGCCCCAGCCTGTGTGATTTCAACCCGATATGCAGCCATGTTTTGACCTCACCTTGATCAGCCCCGCCCAAATAGGTCAGGTGCCTCAAACCATTGAACTCCTCCCCCAAAAGGACGCGGAAGAGGAAAATGGTCATCCTGATCCTGGGCCATGCAATTTTCCCTATGCTTCTTTCAGGGAGTGTAATACCAAAAAGAGGACTTGTTGGATATTGGCGACCGGATCCGTAGCTGTCCACAGGTCGCCATGCTCTTGCTGGCCGTGCAGAGGTGCGGGTTCCTCGCGCTGCGGGTTCCTCGCGCATGGCGGTCGCATGACGTATTCGCCTGGTGAACCCCAGGGGTCGTCGGTCGCTCCCAAGCGCACAATCACAGGGAATGGTGCTGGGAAGGAAAGATTTACATCACACAAGGTGAGGAAGGAGCGTAGACTCCCTCAAGGAATCATGGTTGCGTGGATGGCATGGCCCCGGATCAGGAGGAGGACCATTTTCCTTAAAAAAAAACAGTGAGAGTGATGCCAGAAACATCCAGAACCACCAAAAGATGGCCCCAGAAACGCATGGAAGTGAAGGGTTTGAGGAACATGTCCTTCTTGAGGACTTAGCTCAGGACTTCTCATCTTCTTTGAGAGCATATCTCAAAGACCAAAGAACCTATTCATCAGGACTTTGGTCATCCCAAAGATCCCCACTTCGGTCATGTTCCTTCAGAATCTTTGGAACCAACGGGAAACCGACCTGTTTAGCCTGATTGGGACCGGGGAACTGGGAGAACAGATCAGTGATTAGTTACCACTATAGTTGAGAACCAGTGGTTCCAAAGAGTAAAACCTGTAGAGCTAGACTTTTTCTGGTTCCGTATATGGTGGCTGCCTGGAATCCACTGGGAGTGATTACTTCGTCATTCTGAGTCACCTTCGTCTCTCACCTCCACTGCTTGCGGTAAAAAAGGTCGTCCTTCCGAACACGCCATGGTCGCACCGCACGGATCCCGCCAGTCACTTGCAACTCACCTCGCCGCGCATCCTCATCCTCGCCGACGCCATGGCTCGTGCCTTGCGCAGTGGTTCTCAGCTCATGCCAGTGGCCGTGGCCGCCACAGTGGCTGCAGCTGGCTGGGCGTTCGTGGCCCCACCACGAAGTGTGGCCACCAGGGAAGTGAACAGGAGTTCTGGGATGGATGGAGTTTCCATTGCACAAGCCGAAAGAGAATGGATGGAGTCATTCTGACCCGCAGTTTTCAGTGTGTACTTCATCTTCATGTTTTGTGGAGCCGTTGCTTGACATCACCTCCAAATCTTCAGTAGCCGTTTCTCCTCACAAAGATCATGACGTTTACCGATGGGTGTATCGAATCTCAGGTCGAATCGCCAGATCGTGACTAACCAGTTAGCCTCTGGCGACTGTGTAGCGTCCTTGTTGCACTCCCAAAAAGCGAACACATGGCAGTACATGACATGACACTTCGAGCTGCTAACCCACAACATATGTCAAACATCGGCTGCAAACATGCGGGTTTTTCCTTCTTCTGCTTCTGCTTGTTGGTGTGCATTTTCCAGGAGCCCAGTAGCTCCCAGAGCACCCGCCGACACCACCGCTGCCTCCGGCGCCCGTCTCGGTGGCGCTTCCGTCCTCCTCACCGCCGCCGGCCTCGCGGCAGCGGTGGGTCTCGCACGGGCGCGGCCAGCCATGCGAGCCGGTGAGGAGAAGGAGATGGAGCCATAGAAGAAGTTGATGGGGAGAGAGTTGGGGCTAAGAGGCCTAAAAGGTTGCGAAAGGACCCAAGCAGGACCGGCACCGATCTGAAAGCTCCAACTGGTTCAACTTTGAACGAGCAGTACACCCCGGTTGAGGAAGTCCTGATGTTGTGAGATGCCACTTAAATGGGTACATATATGAACAGAATTTTCCCGCTGGATGGAATTGGATGTGAAGGTGTCCTATTGTTCATTTTGCCCCATCCAGGTCAATATCGGATTTATATGCATGCCCTGTCAAGACGTCTCCAAGTGGATTTGACCGTTTGTTCAGCTTGAGTAATTGGTGATTTTTGCGTGACCGCACCACCAACAACCTGATACGTATATTCTCTTGAGGAGAAGAAGCCCTTCGACGTCTGGGAGCCCTCGACCTATGGTAACATCTCCATGGATGACGTGAAGAAGTACGGCACTGCAGGGACTTTGTCGTACGTCATCACCGAGCTGCTCTTCTGGGCCATTGCCTTCCCCACGGAGCCTTGGACGAAGCGGGGCGGGCTTCTTTTTTCTGGGCGAAGCGGGTAGCTGGGTATGTTTGGGGAAATTGAGCAGGAAGCCCGCATCTCAGGTGCTAAAAGAAACACACACCTTCATAGGGTTCAACAATTTGTACAGAAAAAAAATGTATTACAAACGTCTTCACCGGGACAAACATTCTGTTCTTGAACAATCTTATAGATAGAGCCTCAGAAACTGGTGTGTGAACGTTTGTAAAGTGGTTATAGAGCTGTTTTCCACCAACCCAGCTTTCAGCAGGTTTCGCCCGATCTGATTGGATGGGTGCGGGTTTTCCTGACAGCCTAGGAGTGCATCGTTTACCTCAACACCGCAGGACGGCGACAACGGTTGTGCCGTTGATGGCGGCTTTTTGGGACTCGGATGCGCCACGGAACTGTTCACGACTCGTTAATTACAACGCATGTTGCATGCGCTTTTCCAACAACGAAAGATAAATCAGGGTTTTTGAGTCCCTACAGCGTTTCTCATTTGATCATAGTTTCTTTCTGTCAAGGGATGCCGGACGGGTGCTTGTTTGTGCGTGCATGCTCGTATCTATGTCATGAGTCATGACTCACACACGATGGATTCGATTGGCTAATGATACTTTTGTGCAATGAACAGTGACTTCCATGATTTCCATGCACCAAAAAAGCGTGAACTCCAGCGGATTGTCCCCAAGTACGGACCCCAAAAGGGGTTGGAAAGCCAACTGGGCAGGACATTGGCCCGACTTCAGCAAGCCGGAGGAAAGTGCCGCTGTCTTCGGCCTGGTCTTCGCCGCGTCCAACATCGCCCGGCTCTTGCTGCCACTGCGCTTCGGGGCAGCACTGGCCATGGTGCCTAGGCAGTGGTTTCAGTCGAAGTCAAAGGCAGAGCCAGGCAGTGTGGATTCCTCCCATCTGAGTAAGCACCTGTTCTGGGGAATTTCAGATCATGAGGCCATCGTCGCGTCTCGTTGTTTGGTGATCATGAGGCAGAACATGTGGCCCAAACCCGTCTATGTCATGCCTCGGGCATACCCGTCTATCACAGTTTACTGGGTCTTGGAGGTGAATAGACTTGCAAGTGCACACGAGAACCGAGTGACGGACGAGGGCGTTGGATTGTGGTCAATGTGGTCGGACCATCTTGGACCGACCACGAGGGCTTTTATGGACCTCCTTGGAGGGCTCAGCTGTTTGGAGGGTTTGATGAACCACATTGGACTGGGTGGTTTCAGAGATGTTATTTTTGAGATGATTGAACCAGATTGAACCCACTGACTCATATTTGTTCATGTGAGGTGAAACCACCAACCGGATCCAACCAGTTACTGTAACCAGTTCTTGAAGGGATTTAGGGGTGGAATTGGATAGAATTGGTGGAAGTCCTTGGCAGTTCCACTCAAACTACGTCTGTGGAGTGTCCGCCTCGTCTATGTGGTGCATCATGGGTCCGGATCGTCGCGATGCCCCCGGTGCCATGCTCCACAGCCACAGAACGAACTCAACCCTATGTAACTATTCAATTTCGTTCATGTTCGGTGGGAAAAAGACATGTGTTTTTCCTGGTGCCATGCTGCACGGCCACATGTAGTGATGGACCTTCAGAACGACCTCAACGACCTCGTTCGACACGACCTCGTTCAGCGCGAGCGGCTCGCGTGCTTTTTCACAGCGGTCAAAGGAGCAATAAGAGAATGGGGCAGCGGAACGGGTACTTGTCCAACATGACGGGGTCTTTTGACATGAAGAACTGATGATGTCATATACAGCTCCCTTTCCCATCTCGTTCAACAATATGCTTCCCTCTCTCAAGCTCCGGTCTCAGCAAAGAGTACAGTTGAGATCAAGTTCCTATAGGATCCTATAGGTATATAGGCTCTTGGAATCTCTTGGGTAGATTGACCGAGAGAGCGCATCACTTAGAGTTGATCGAACCGGTGAGGCGCCTTGGGTGGACGAGAACATCATGCAAAAGTTCTTTAAACAGGAGGCCCAGGAGGCCAAGGAGGGCGCCTAATGTCCGAGTTGCAATCTTCGGGCCGAACTGCGGCAAGGTCCGCAGTGCGAGGCTTGGGAGTCTTCCACGAGCCTGACGTTTGACCGTGATTTGACATAAGAAGCAGTCACCACCTTGTTGGTTTAGACCTGAGGCCATTTTGCAGAGGGGTCCTTTGTTGTGCGAGGGGGGGCTTTTCTTCTCTCACCGTAATCAGTGAATCAGACGATTCTTACCAAGCTGCCCTTTTTTGTCCCAATGTTCACATCGTAATCCATCGAGTCAAAGAATAGACCTGACTTCCAGCAGTCACAAAGGGATGGTTTTTAGTCCCATCCAGTGAGTGGATGTTCTGGGCACCCCTATCCTCCAAGTTCCGCACCCCGACATGTGAGTGCTGACTTCTTGCTTCAACATGGTTCAACGTCCCAAATTGCTCGCTTGGAACATCTCGCTTTTTGGCAGATGAGATGTCTGGAGTCCTTTGGCCAATTTTTTCACTGCCAGATGTAGCGATGCAAATAGATGTCTTGAGTCGTTTGGTCGTTACTGCCAACAGAACATTATCAGTAGTCAGTTCTCCAAAGGTGACTTGACGATCACATCTTGCCAGCAGCAACCACTTAAGCCTTAAACTTGAGAATCAGAAATTGATGGGCACATGTTTGGAACGTTCGTAGTAGATAGAGCAACTGTTGTGCATTCATGCTGTTTTTCAATACTTTTTCACGGAGCGTTCACATCTTCAACATGCCTTTTTTGTGGAGTCATTCCTGGACTTTAGCGGTCAACCAGCGTTCAGGTAAGAAGACTTCCTGGCCTCAAATCAGATTGCCCAATGCTTTTCGCCACCGAAGCCAGTCAGAGTCAATAGGACTCGGACAGTTTCCGGCTTCAGTGTGGCCCACATTCCCATTGGACAGAGTGAGACCATTCCATCCGCATCTCAGAACATGTCCGAAAAGCCAAAATAAGCTGAAACGTTATTGGACTAGGTACGGAAGATATGAGATATGCGATGTTTTGTGCTGTTTTCAGAACATGACTTACCATTCCATATTAAGGATCTGGAATCAATTGTTCGGGTCATGGCTTCCTTGCATGACTATTTCCAGGATGTAAAACACCTGTCAAAAAAAACACTCACATTATCACAACTCTGTAAAATACCGGTGGCGGCTAAGTAATTAGTTAGGAACCATCATCATTCACAAGTCGGAAGAACAGACATGGGATGTAAGGGTACTCAAGAATCCACTGAGTGGGGAGGACTTCTTTGATCCCAAAGATGAAGACTTGTTCTTCATTTGGATGTGCCTGGGGATGTGAAGCAGGTTTTGGAGGTCTAAGGGTTAGAAGCCGCAATGTGAGAATGGTGCATGACTCCAAACTTTCCGCATGTGACCAGTGTCGGGGACGTCGACGGAACTTCGGCGAACCGTGGCGTGGAACTTCCGAGTTCAGCGATTTCATCGCTGAAAGGGTAGAGTGTTGCTTCAGTGGCGATGAAACGGGCCTTGGTCGTTTTGAGTACATGGGCAATGCTATAGTTAATGCTGTTGATGAAGAGCGGTTGCCGCTGTTTGTGTCATCATACTGCCACACCTCAACTGGGGGAGTGAGTTTGTGTGAAGCCAGGTTGGCCAGGTCTTCTGGTCTCAAATCAAGAATTTCCAAACGAAGCCCTCGGGAGGTCAAGACATCGCACCGAGCGATCTGGCGCCCTCGCACTGAACGCACTGGGGGCGGGTGACGAGGTGCTTCAACGTCGCTGCTTGGACCAAGAGCTTGGCGATGACGCTCTTGCGAGCTCCCCGAGGGCGCAAGTCCGTCCGGGGCGCCGAGGGCGTCCGCTTTCGCGTCGAAGATCCGATTGCCTGCCTGGTGGCATGTTCGGAGATGTTCGGAGAGATCGGAAGTAGTGGGGGCACAGAAACTGATTTAGGGTATGGTGGGTATCCTCCTCCATAATCTCTTTATCTCAAGGCGTTGGTTGGAACAACACAGATAGAGAATACGCACACATATCCTAAATCGGACACTTTCCACGAAAACACACTGGTGGAGTCGGTTCGCTGGAACTGTTCTCCTGGCTCGGGAGTGAGGCAGGATTGGCGGTTGTTTGGAGACCAACTCCTTTTGTTTGCGGGGGCGTCACTATAATCAGTGAGGAAGACTGAGGTTTGGTGCAAAACCTATTTCTTGCAAGCAACGTATGCATCTATGGTCCTTCAGGACGACCATCCACAATCAGACTGGGTGAATCTTCCAGTCTGATGCTTCGCTTTTCGGGGGTCCGTGTGAAACAGCCGAGTATAATTGAGACAAATATCCAGAAGATGAGACAGCTAAGTAGACCAACAAGGGCTTCTTGATGCTTCTTGGAGATGGACGAGTGGTTGATGCGCGATGGACGATCGTTGATGGACACCTCGAGTCGCCTCGGGGTGTCATGGACGCCCCTCAAAGAGGTGCCCAACAAGGGAGACTCCTCTTGGAGGAAGCGATAACCGCAAATCCTGCTTCCCACAGCATTTGCCGAACGACAGTTATATATATAATTGGATGCAGATGTTGCTTCCAATACGCGATGTTCAGAGCTGGAGAGGTGAGCTACAGACGTTGTTGGCGCGCCTAGGTGGTGACGTGGTTGAGCCACATTTGGCTGTTGGTCAAAAGCAGGATACCACTGTTGAATAGGGTTCACCTACCTGGGAGGTCAAGCTACATGGTGTTGGGCCTCCAGGTTTTGACCCATCCCCATACGAGCAAGGACTGGGCAGAGTGGATCTTCATCCACGATGGTTTGGCAATTTGGGTGGGTCAAAGTGGTTGACCCCTGAAATTGAGCCGATTCCTTTATCAGGGATGTCAACCTTCCATTGAGGTTACTTTCCATGATAGTAATCAATAGTACTTATCTATGCCAAAGAACATGGAGTTTCAGAACAATTTCAGATTCTGTATACACTTGTTAAATCAAACACGTTTTGAGGCTGGGACTTCATAAGACAGCATTGTGGCCGGGACTTATCTTCGCATTGTTCGCGGACACCTTATGCAAGCTGACACCAATTGACACGCTCCTTCCGTGCTGAAACGTTCCAACTCATTGGACCTTCCGCTCAGATCGCTTCGGCATTATGTCGGCACATGGTGCTTCAACCTGTTTGAATTCCTGGTCGAACATGTGACGTGTCAACTGGTTTATGCCTATTCTGAGAAAGATCCAGATGGATTCTTCGTGAAGGCCACACGTCCTCAGGCAGAATCCTTGTCCCTGACTATCCCTTGGGAGGCGCGTTGGCGCACACACAGCGGGGGTCGTAAAGTGTTTGACCTTGTCTGTTTACCAGGGATCAACAAAGTCAACTCCTGGTTGATTTATAAGGGAATGTCCGGGAATGGCCTTAACATGCCTTAACTGATCAATCTTTGTAAACGGCATGTTTGACATTTGTGAATGATCCCTTGTGCCACTTCTCCTGCTCGTACTGCTAGTACTCCTACTTCTACTTCTACTCCTACTACATCATCCTACTACTAATCCTACTTATAATCCTATTTCCACCTCCTACTACTACTACTAGTACTAATACAAGTACTACTACTACAATACTACTACTACTACGACTACTACTACTACTACTACTACTACTACTACTACTACGACTACCACCACCACCACTACCACTACCACAACTACCACCACCACCACTACTACTACTACTGCTACTACTGCTACCACCGCCACCTAGACCTATTTGCTACTACTTACTACTTACCTAATCACTACTTACCTAATTACTACTGACTACTGACGACGACTACTACTACTGCTACTGCTACTCCTACTCCTACTCCTACTACTACTACTACTACTACTACTACTACTACTACTACTACTACT